CATAACACATCGCCACCATGCAACTGCCAACTCCCTGGCGTCTCGGCATAGCCCCGTGGCTGTTCTCCTTCGCCATCCTACTTCCCGTGCTGCAATTCGTACTCGGCTCCCAGGATTCCTGGCCGACCCTCGGCAATGGCCTCCAACAGACGATTCAATGGGATCATTACAGCCTCGTCATCAACGGCGAGCGCATCTTCCTCTTCGGCGGCGAGATGCATCCGTTTCGCGTGCCGGTACCCGAAGTGTGGGAGGATGTTCTGCAAAAAATCAAAGCAGCGGGAATGAGGATGGTTTCAATCTACACGCATTGGGGGTTCCACGCGCCGACGCCTGGCAAGGTCGACTTTGACACCGGCGCGCACAACCTTACCCGCTTCCTCGAGATGGCTAGAGACATCGGCTTGTACGTGCTGGTGCGACCTGGCCCATACATTAACGGAGAGCTCAACGCGGGCGGAATGGCACTCTGGGCCACCACGGGCGCCTACGGGGACGTCCGGTCCAACGGGACAGCATACACAGAGGCGTGGACGCCGTATCAGGACGGCATGGCGCAGCTGGTCAAGGCCTTTCAGCTCACCGAGAACGGCACCGTTATCATGTACCAGATCGAGAACGAGTATGCGAATCAGTGGCGCGACGTCGGCGCAAAGACGCCCAACCCCGAGGCCGTTTCGTATATGGAGAAGCTGGAGGAGAACGCACGACGCAATGGGATCGTTGTGCCCACAATACACAATGCACCTGGCCAAGGCGGCAGATCGTGGTCTAGAGACTATGATACCGGCCACGCAGGAGGGGATGTGGATATCTACGGCCTGGACAGCTACGTGAGTTTTAGCTCCTCCCGTGCGCGGTATGGCTGTGTGACTTTGGGCTAAACGTGCCCACAAAGCCGCAATGCTGGTCGTGCGTCACCGAAGACTGCGGCACCATCAAGGACTTTGCCATCGCCGACTACTGGGACCATTTTCAGCAGGTCTCGCCGAGGCAGCCGCCCATGATGCCCGAGTTCCAGGGGGGTGCGATGAATCCGTGGGACGGCCCCGCAGGTGGCTGCAAGGAGAGGACTGGCCCTGAGTTTGTCAACTTCTACTACCGTGACACCATCGCCCAGAAGGTCACGACGTTGAACCTGTACATGATATACGGCGGCACAAACTGGGGGTGGCTGGCCGCGCCTTTCATCGGCACCAGCTACGACTACTCGGCCGCCATAGCCGAAGACCGGAGTATCGACGCCAAGTACTACGAGATCAAAAACCTCGGCCTCTTCACTCGTGTGGCACACGAGCTGGCCTTTACCGAGCGCGTGGGCAACGGAACGGCATACACGAACAACACAGCCATATTCGTAACAGAGCTCAGAAACACGGACACGGGGGCTGCCTTCTATGTCCTCCGGCATGCAATCACCTCTTCGACGTCTACGGAATACTTTATGCTCTACGTTAACACAAGCGCTGGGAATTTCATGGTACCTCAGATTGAAGGCGCCACAGTGCTGAGCGGCTACGAATCCAGAATCACGGCTGTCGACTTCCATTTCGGGAACAACACGCTGATATACTCGACAGCAGAGGTTCTGACGTACGCCATTATCGACGGACACTCTACGCTGGTGCTCTGGGTTCCCACTGGCCTCTCGGCCGAGTTCTATCTGCAGGGCGTGGTCAACGGGACCATCTCCGCACATGCCGGGGCGCAGGGGATTACGTTTGACAAAAGGGATAAAGGCGTGGTGGTGGGCTTCACGCAGCCTGAGGGTATGTTTGTTCTGGACTTTGACACTGGCGTGAGAGTCGTGCTTGTCGATAGAAAGACGGCCTATAAGTTTTGGGCGCCTGCCTTGACAAAGGACCCTAAAGTCCCCGTCAACCAAACAGGTGAGCCACACACGATATCTCGGTCTTTCATCTCACCAGTTCAGCTAACACATATTCGTCAACCAGCTCTGGTCATCGGGCCGTATCTCGTCCGCTCAGCAGCCCTAGACACCGACACGATTTGCATATTCGGCGATTCCAACGGCACGACACCCATACCCATCCAGGTATTCACCACGGCGGCCACGTCCAAAATCCGATGGAACGGCAAAGACCTGGCCACGACGCGCACAGCACACGGCACACTACAGGCCACCATCCTGCCGCCTGCCGCCTTCACTCTCCCCAAGCTTGGGCCGTGGAAGTCCCAGGACAGCCTGCCCGAGCGACGGCCCGCCTACTCCGACTCCAGCCTCGCCTGGGCTGACGCAAACCATATGACAACGCCCAGCGCCACCAAGGGCACCACGCCGTACCTCTACGCCGACGAGTACGGCTTCCACACGGGAGTCCGGCTGTGGCGGGGCTATTTCGCCAGCACCGCCGCAAGCATCGTGACGGGCGCCTTCGTTAGTGTGCAGGGCGGCACGGCGCACGCCTGGTCGGCGTTTCTCAACGGGCAGCTCGTGGCGTCGTTCCTCGGCGACGCCAGCATGCCGATAGGGAACCTGACGATCTCGTTCCCCAGCGGCGCGCTGTATGACAGCGACAAAGACGGCAGGGAGAACGTGTTGCTGGTCATGCACGACGACACGGGGCACGACGAGCTCAACGCGGCGCTCAACCCCCGCGGAATCTTCAACGCCACGCTCTTCGGCAGCGGCAGTGGCGGCGCTCGGCGGCAGTTCAGCCGGTGGAAGGTCGCAGGCACGGCGGGGGGCGCATCGGGCGTCGCGCTCGACCCCGTACGCACGCTCTACAACGAGGGCGGGCTCACGGCGGAGCGTCTCGGCTGGCACCTGCCGGGATTTGACGACTCGCTGTGGCCGGCGGGGTCGCCGCGTGAGCATAGTGCGGACGCCGGCGTGCGCTTCTACCGCACCGCGCTGGACCTCGCGGTCCCCGACGGCCTGGACGTGTCGCTGGCGTTTCGGTTCGTCACGCCGCCCTCGAATTCCACGGCGTATCGCGCGTACCTGTATGTCAACGGCTACCAGTTCGGCCGCTTCTATCCGGCCATTGCCTCCGAGGACACGTTCCCAGTGCCGCCGGGCGTGCTGGACTACAGCGGCGACAACGTGGTTGCCGTGGCCGTGTGGGCGCAGACGGAGCTGGGCGCGGCCGTCGACGTCGAGCTTGTGCTGCGTTACGCCGTTGGCTCGTCGTTCTCTACCAAGTTTGACGGCGCGTACCTCCGTCCGGGCTGGGGGCGTGAGAGGCTGCTTTACGCTTGATTCCTTGGAGACATAGTTACGCGGGGATTGGTGGGAACATACCAATACTGGACAGGGGTTCAGAAACTACGTGTTAAATATGTACAAAGAAGTTTCGATGTCTTAGGACCACACATTCGCCATCAAATGTTACGACCAAATACCATCCCCGTTTCCATCACATCCACCCATCACTGCACCGTTCACGGTCTAGCAGGCGAAGACGCTGGGGCCGGGAATCGTGTAGCTGGTCAAAGGGGGCCAGTAGATACTGATCTTGACTCCGGGATCGGTTCCCTACAAGAGTCACAGCCGGGTCAGCATTTCTCCGAGGCATCACATCAAATCACGAAGGGGAAGACAGCAACATACCGAGTAGGCGCCTGGGAAGCTGACAGTGGCGGGCGTCTTGGTGCCGGTGCCACCAACAACATTGATCTGGGCGCACTCCATGTAGAACTGGGCGCCGGGGTAGTTGCCAGCGCCGTGGAGGGCAATCATCTCGGCGCGCAGCAGGTACTGGCCGGGGGCAATGCAGGCAGGGATGCGGATGTCGTGGCGGCCCTGGCCGGTGACGACGCGCTCGGTGCCCCACACGCCGTTGCTGGCCAGCCCGTCCTGCTGGATCTTGAACCAGCCGCCACCTGGGCCGGCGTCGGCCGTCGCGTCGGACACCTTCTTGAGGTACGCGAGCGTCGGGCCCTTGTGCGTGATGTCCATGACGTCGTTGGGCGCGCTGCCCGTCGTGCCGATCATGTACCGCCAGATGGCCGTCACGTTTGAGCCGGCTTGGACCGTGATCACCTTGCTGGTCGGTGACGTCGGGTTCGGCGCCCCGTTGCACGCCAGCGAGTTGGAGGTTACGTCCTCAATCGGCCCGTTGTACGACGGCACCCGCACTCCCTGTCCGACGCCCTGGTTGACGCCGCCAACTTCGAGCGACGAGAAGATGGTGTGTGCGCTGGCCAGCCCGGCGGCGGCGAGGAGCGGAGCGACGACTTTCATGATTTCGGTTCAGGGGTAATGTCGAGTGGAGATGGTTGAATGAGGTCAAGTGCTCTGGGATACTGATCAGAGACGACGAAGAGGATATCATTGAGGGCTTCATATACACGCGGTAGACCGCTCGCAAAATCCTGGAGGCACGCGATTCCTGGAAGTCCATCGCCGCCGCCGCCTTGGCTGGCCTTGGCCGCGAAAAAAATGCAACACCAAGGCGGCGAAATGGCCAGCAAAGCCAGGCTATGCCGGCGCGACCCCGGCCACAAAAAAGCTGGGGTGCAACGTCTCGGCGCGCGCATGGCCCGGGAACGGCGGCCGGCGCTGCAACCTGCCTCCGGAGGGAGCGCGGAACGTGGCCCTCCGGCCCAAGGGTCGCCATCTCTGGGGCAGGATTTCGGCTGCGCAACCGAAACAGCCGCACGGCGCGGGCGAGCCAAGCCTCTGGGAACCTGGTTCTGGCTGTCAGGCGTCCCTGAAATTTCCCCCAGTGTCCTGGTTTCCTAGCTCTGCCAGCGCAGAGCGCGCGTCAGCAACGTGCTTGGCGCGCAGAACTGGGGCAGCTCTCGCGGCTCGTATATCCCGATCATCTCCCTGGTGACCAGGCGGACGGAGAGAGCTGCCCCGTCTTTGTGACGTGTGTCTTGCAGAGGTCGTCCCTAGCCGCCGTGTCGCGAGCAAAATGCCTTTGTCTGCAGTTGCGTCTTGAGGTCCTAAAACACCCGTCCGCGTGTCCGGTGCAAACCGGCATCAAAAAAGGAAGCATGTCACAAGCTCAAGACGGCAAAAATGAATGCTTCGATCGAGCTGGGACTCGAACCCAGAACCTTTACCAACAGAGAGATATCTTGTCGCCGGAAAGTAACGCGCTACCATTGCGCCACCCGACCGATGGTGCTTGTGTTTGATGGAGATATGGTTCGGGACTGGCTGTGTTCTGTGGGATGGCATGCGTGGCGTGACTCGCTCTCGGCCCTGGAGTGTATGGTAGACTCCATCCCTCGCCAGGTTTTCGCTACGAGGACGGCTCCGCTTTGCGGGTTGTCTGTCCATCCAGGGTTGTGAATGGTGCCGGTAGGGTTATGGCATGATGGTAGGACAGTGAGTGGTAAGGTAAGTGTCTATTCCTAGGCAAACAGCTATCATTTATTGAGAACTAACGTCCAATTGTTGGATGTGAAGGGGTGAACGTCAACGACTTCAAAGGCTTGGGTCCAGAAGCTCACAAGCCACACACCAATGGCTGGATGCTACATGGGATAAGAAGCACTTTACCAAGCATGGTGCTGTTCTAATGGGTGAACTCTTTTTAGAGGCGGAATTCTTAGCTTACTGTTTCATCAAAGACAGCTGGTGCTTCTTTGTCTTCGAGGGGAAAGGTACGCACAACCGCATCCAATACATATGATGTTTCTTTGTCTTTTCCTAACCTGACAGCCCGCTTCGATGGCCTTTGTTGACGAATGCAATAGCATTGTCTGTCTTCATTCTGTGCAAAGTGCCTCTTTAGTATGGAAACCTGATATCATTCGAGAGTTTCGGAACATAAAAACGAACGCCGTCTGCCATCTCAGTCGAATAATCTTTCTACCATCACCATCCTCCAAGGAAACAGAAGACACTGCATCTTCCTTTCCACCCACTTTCGCACGCCACTCCACATACGCAACTGCAGGACTTTACAGCCAAATCAGCTAATATGTGCATAGTATACACGGTTGACATTTGGTGCGGGGTGCCGAACCACCAGCCTCAGACGATCGTTGACCACCGTGAGGTACTCAACGGGTGCAACCTCAAGGATGGCCACGAGATAGAGGTGAGGCTGCCCACCCGGGTCGAGGAGGAGCGGCGTCTTACGTGCCCTGTTTGCAGAGCGCTCGCTGCCATGGCTGAGCAGGACGACGACTCCTCTGAATCGACTTCGGGCGAGGATGAGGACGACTACCCTGAGCAGTACGCTCTCACTCCGGAGCCGAGCGAGTCTGGAGACGAGATGGCCATTGGCGGCATTGTTGGAACTGCCAACATTGTCGGCACGCCGGCTCATCACGACTCCGATGATGACATGGTGGACGTTGACATCCACATGCAGCAGCTTGCTGTTCCGTCCCGGGAGGCTCTTGACCAGATCTACGCTAAGCCAGTCTTCGACGACTCTGACGACGAGCAGTAGGTGGCGCGTCTAGTAAGTTGCTATTCCCTTCCCCGCTTTGTTTGTCTTTATTTGCATTTGCCTTCATGAACGCACCCATGCGCGCTAACTCGGTAGCCGGGGCCCTTGCCCTGTCTCCGGATCAATTAACTACAGCAGCAGTGCAGGCCCTTTTTACTGACAAGATAGATCTTGGATAAATACTACACTTTCGTTACCGATGACTAAATTCCCCTTTGAAAATATTGAACGTGAAAAAACATGTGCATCAGCCTAAAACTCGCGTGCTCATCCGTTGTCTTTTAGTTACCTAAACACGGCGATAACGAGACGCCCATTGACTGATAACGGCCCATCCGCAAAGCCGACACAGAGGTCCGATAAGGATTCGCAGGCTCGCATGTGTGTTGCTAATCCAGCAGCTGCTGATAGAGGAAAAGGCGACGAGCTTCCCGGTTCGGACAAGGGGCCTGCATGCCGGCGCGGGAGCGAGGGGGTGCCGGGGCGCTGATTCGCTGCCGCCGGACAAGCTTCGCTTCCCAGGTGTGTCGATCTGAAATGCCGGCGCCAAGGACAGGGGTCTATTTGTCTCTGTGCAGGTACAGCGACTCTCCAATCAGTCCCAGCCAAAGCTCCCCCGTGTCCCTGTTTGTCAATCCCACCAGTGCCGTGCCGTGCCGGCGTGTCTGCTCGATTGCCTGCGGGAATTGTGCCCTCCCCCTTCCCCTCCCCCACACCCCTTCCCCTCCCCACGTCAAGCCATCGGTCAGGACAACGGTTTAGCCTGGTGGAAGGGTTCTGGAACTATCAACCAGACGTCTGAGGGTGTGGCCATTTTTATGTCTAATAGGGGTTGGAGATGCTGTGTAACCAGACGGTGGGCGTGCTGCGTGGGACTGGGTGGCAGGCCCAACCAGGCTTCTCCAGACGACACGCCTTTGCAAGGGGTCCAGACGGACCGCCCTCAGAATGCAACCCTCGAGGTGTGGGCACGACTCCCGGCCAAGACATCTCAGTGGCTCCGCGGGCATGGCGCGCCTCATGCACCGAACCTTCCGTTCTAGGGCATCCCTCCGTCGAACTAGCAGCCGGCCAGCCTGGAATTGAGCAACACTTGGTTCTACGGTATGGCCTGGCTCGCTTGCTAGTATCGATGTCTGGCTTCTCAGGGGGCGAGCTCGCTGAGCGGATAGCTATATAAGTCCGGACCGCGTTGAAGAAGAGTCAGGTAGATTGAGAGTCGACGTGCTGCAACCCAGACAGCTTACCCCTTACCCGAACACCACTGGATACAGTCCCTGCCCTCAAAATGGCCAGAGTGAGAACCCCGACTCCCACTCCGGGTGCACCATATTGCTGACCGTGCCTGCCAGCTCCTCTCAGTCGTTCTCGCGCTCATCTCGGCCGTCGCCGTGTCGGCCGCGGCGATCCCGGTAGACGGGATCGGCCACGTGGCGGCCGGCCTCGAGACGCGCGCCACATGCGTTTACACGTGCGGAACAATTTGCTACTGGCAGAGCGACATCACGGCGGCCAAGAACAAGGGCTACTCGCTGCACAATTCGGGCTCGACGCTGGGTATGTCCATTCTCCAGACCAGCAATCCACGTGCTGTGCTTATGACAAAAAACAGGAGGCTATCCCCACGTGTACAACAACTACGAGGGTTTCAGCTTCCCGACGGCCTCGCCGTGGTACGAGTTTCCCATCCTCAGCTCGTACAACGTCTACACGGGCGGCTCGCCGGGGCCGGACCGCGTCATCTTCGACAACAACGGCGCCGTCGACTCGCTCATCACGCACACGGGCGCCAGCGGCAACAACTTTGTGGGCTGCAGGAAGAACTGAAGGGCAGCCGGAAAGTCGCTCAGGGGCAGGTTTCTTGTTTTTTTTTGTTGCTGCAGCATCCACCATACATTCCACGCAGTTATGACTGAGACGCACTGGAATGTCATTTACATTGAGACCAATCGCAAAACGTGATTACAGTATAACCAGCCAGCACATCACCCAGTGAACGCGGATATGTTTTTGTTGACTTTTGAACCCCCTACCCACCACAAATCCCAAGCAGTCCATTTTCCATGCCTGCCGAAACCAGTCCATCTAGCCCATCTATCTAGTCTAAACAGCCCGTCGCCACGCGAAGGGAATAGGAACCGAAACAGAGAAAGGAAAAGAAGCCGAAAACACTGAGCTCAAAAACGCCCACACATCCCACCGCCTAACATCCCACCTCGCAACACCCACCCCCTTCTCCCTCTCCTTCGCTTCCATATCCCCATCCTTACCACCCCCATCCTCATTTTCAAGCGAGAGAGCATGCCTCCACTTGATCCGGCCAACAAACGGCTCGGCGGCGCAGCGCACAAAGCGCAGCACCGGCGCCTGCGCCACGTTGCGCGACATGCGCGTGGCGAGCACCAGCTCGTCGTGGAACGGAATCGCCGGGAACACGTGCCGGTCCAGCGCCCGGTCGGCCCACGTGTGCCAGCTCGACGCGCGCGTCAGTGCGACGGATGCCGCGTAGTCGCGCGCTAACAGCTCGCTGCGTGACGATTGGTAGCGGTCGAATACGGCTGTGAGGGTAGTCAGGGGTAGGGGTGTTGTTGGTGTTGATGATGATGATGATGATGATGATGATGATGATGATGATGATGATGATGATGATGATGATGATGATGATGATGATGATGATGATGATGATGATGTGGTGGTGTGATGGTCGCGCAGCGCGTCGTGTAGCTCGTTGAGCAGCGCGGCGACGTCCTGGATGCCGTTGTTGTAGCCCAGGCCATGGTTGGGCGTCATCTTGTGGCAGGCGTCGCCGACGAGCACCACGCGGCCGAAGCTCCAGTGCTCGACGACGCCCTCCTCGAGGTCCGACATGCCGCCCGAGTAGCGCAGCGGCAGCACGTCGCGCACCTTCAGCGTCTCACTAACAGCGTGGTCGCCGTTGCGCGCCGCCAGCGCGTCAATATCCGCCGCCGTGTAGCTCACGCGGGTGCCGCGTGGCGGTGGTGCTGCGAGCCGCTCGTAGATGAACAGCCACGACCGGTCGGCGCCGTTGAGGCACTGCAGCGAGTTGTCTTTCCCGTGGATCTCGACGGCGTCGCCGGCCGCGAGGTCGCAGCCCGCCGGCCGCGGGAACGTGCACCAGAAAAGCCGGTACTCGCACGCGTACGGGTGCTCGGCATTGACCTTTGGGGACGCGGCCTTGAGCGCCAGGTCGCGCATCCGCTGCCGCACTACGCTGTGCACGCCGTCGGCGCCGACGACCATCGACCCCCGGTGCGCGCTGCCGTCCTTGCAGTGCACCACGACGCCGTCCGCGCCGCTCTCGATCTCCGTCACCTGCTTGCCCGTGAGCACGCGCGCCTTGTCGGCCGCGCTCAGCGTGTCGTACAGCACTTGGATGAGCTGCGCGCGGTGGAAGACGTGTTGGCAGATGCCGTGGCTGGGACGAGAGTCAGTTAGTGGCACCTCATGATATCAGACTCAAGTGCTTGCTCACTTCTTTTTCATAGCCTCGGTCGCCCACGACGTTTTGTACTTGTGCCCGCCGAGCTCGAGGCTCCGCGTGCACCCCAGCTCGACGCCGAGGGCGGTCAGGGGCTCGAGGATGCCCAGCTGCGCCAGGATGCGGAACCCCTGCGGCCACACGACCAAGCTGGCGCCGACGTCGATGACGACCTCGCGGCGGTGCTCGAGCACGACATAGTCGATGCCGGCCTT